GTCCACCTAACTATATTGACTTAAGCGCTACGCCTCTCACAGAGGTGGAGTTATTAAGTCAGTGTAGTGGGTGAGTGAGTTGCATCTGTGGGACCTACATTTTAGTGTAGAGGCTTACAGAGTTAGGTCAGCATAAGATGCCATATGTTGACCTAACTCAGTAATATAGACCAGACCTCAGAGTGTCACACCTAAAATACAAGGTGGAACATCTTATTTAGCATAAATAATTAATACAGATGTCAAGGGACCATTCAGGGTAAAGTGGCCCATTAACACCCCTCCAGTCATAAGGGGAAAAAGGAGGGAAGAAAGGGAGGTGGGGGGTGTAAGTGGCTTACAGATTATTGTAATAAGACATAAATCCAGTGCATCTATTTAGTCCATGATTTTTAGTGTCTAGCAAAGTTATGAACTTAAGCTCCCTGGCTTGTCGTTTGAAAGTGTCGTGCAAGTTTCCTTTGAGGATGAGGACTGATAAGTCAGATATAATCACTTAGTGATCATGGCCACAACAACGCTGCATGAGATACCACCACCAACCTCTTACATAGCACTTTTCATCAGTAGATCTCAAGGATAGAAACATTATTCCCATTGTATACATGGGGAAACAGAGGCAGAGAGAGGTGAAATGACTTAGCCAAAGTCACCCAGTAGGCAAGTCAAAAAGTCAGGACTAGAGCCCAGGTATTCTGAGTCTCAGTCTACTGTTCACTACACCAGTCAATATAACTGCTTTGTGATTCCAAAGCATCACGACACCAGCCCACACACTTTGTTATAGTGGAATGGGAATAATGGTCATGCTTTGTAATGTTTGGATTATGTAGCTGCTAATAAGACTAGTGAGAGAAACCTCAGATATGGTCTATGTCCCAAGAACCTGACAGTTTTATTACACAGTGAGTAAAAAAATTTCACACACACAAAAACTTCAAAAACAGACTCCAACGTGAAGCTGCAGAATTGGAATTAATTTGCAAACTGGATACCATCAGATTAGGCCTGAATAAAGACTGGGAGTGGTTAGGTAATTACAAAACCTAAACTTAATTTCCCCCTACTGTTACTCACACCTTCTTGTCAACTGTCTGTAATGGGCCACTCTCTTATCACTTCAAAAGTTATTTTCCTC